AAATAATTCGATATAAAATAGTTCCTTTTTGGTTCCAGGTGGAATTAAGTGACAGCTTGGCCATTGTGGTCTGAATTAAGACTATTGTTCCACACGTAGATTCTTGTAGAATCCCTACCGTTAAAAAGCTGTCACGTCTTAATTCGAACCCAAAAGGGTATGTACTTCTACTTCCTACCGGTATTTACCGACTACCGAATACAAATACCGACACATGTGACATCAAGAACGAAGGCAATCCAACCAAGACTGCACTGCCCACCATTCTTTGCAGCATATGATACGACAGCTGCTGCTGCTACTAACGCGCTGATTTGAAGATCATATTGGGTCATTCCCGTAAACACAGATCTATGTAATATTGAATTAGGCTTCAGTCGTGCACACATAGAAGTATGTGTTTTTGACACAAATACATAGATTTTTGGTCCGGGCAGGCTCAGGCTAACCAAAAGTATGCAAGAAACACATACTTTTTTTGGAATCCTCGATTCAAAAATTCATTAGTCACGAGCAACTGACAGCCAATTCTCAAGTGTCAACCGGCCAGTTCTCAAGTGTCAACGAGCCGGGGGAGCCCGCCAAAACAAATCTAAAGTGTCACGACTGCTGTGTCAGTGTCACAAAATCAAAAAGCGCGCCAAAACAAATCTAAAGTGTCAACTTTTTTATATCGATTGAAAAGAAGATAGCTGTAGCAGCATCAAATGGGTATCGATGCTTGCTGACAGAATTTTTGGAACATTACTGAAAAGGAACATCGACGCGCTACCCTGACAATGTCACTAGAATTCATCATCCTTTGTGTGGCTCTCCACAATGAGCTGGAWAAAGAACAGTCTCCAGAGGAAAGGTGCAGAAGGGATAGGAGGACGCCACGGATTGCAATCAGGAGATGGAATCAGTCGCCRTTYCTCCACTTGTATAGTTCTGGCAATGAGCAAGCCCTCCTGAACTGTTGTGGTGTGGATCACGCTGTCTTCAGAGGTCTCATGGAACTCTTTGCACCAGTATTCAACATGTACATGGTTGATGAGGCAACAGGGAAGATTAGAATGAGAAGCTTCCACAGGAATGGAATGCCGAAGGGACGCTTTAGGGAGGCAAATGCCACTTGCTGCTTTGGGTTAACACTGCACTGGTTCAGGACGCGTGGATCAGTAGCAAGAGGGCTGTCAATGGCCTTTGGTCTCACATCAACAGTGTTGTAYAAGTGGATCAAGTTCTCCAGGTGTGTCCTCCTCTATGTCTTGCAAGACAATCCAGACGCAAGGATCCAGGCTCCTGCCAGAGAGGATATYGATGCTTATGTTGCTGCWATTGGGGAGAAATACCCTCTACTTGGAGAGCAAAGGGTGTGGGGAGCTGCAGATGGCCTCAAGCTTGGACTGCAGACCTCAGGSAACTGGGCAGTACAGAACATGTACTACAACGKATGGACATCTGATACGTACGTCAACAGCCTCTTTGTCTTTGCCCCAGATGGCAAAATTAGAGCAACAACATTCAACTGTCCTGGGTCGTGGCATGACAGCACCATGTCAGAGTATGGCATCTACAGGAAGATGGAGGACATGTACATCTTGTATGATGCTAAAGTAGTGGTTGATTCAGCATTCCAAATGGCYGACAGGCCATACCTTGTAAGGAGTTCACAACAGGATCCAGACCTCCATGTTGTAGGCATGAGAGCTGCTAGAGATGCTATATCCCTTAATCGTGAGGCTACATCACTGAGGCAGCTTGCTGAGTGGGGCATGAGGATGATCCAGGGACAGTTCCCAAGGCTGAAGGATAGGATCAGGTTCRAGGAGCAAGGTGAAAGGAAGATTCTCTTGAACACAGCAATCTTGCTGTATAATTATCAGGCCAGCACTGTAGGCATCAACCAGATCCTTAATGTGTTCATGCCCAATGAGCAACACAAAAGGGGGTTCTTTGGTCATACTGAGACAATCGATGAGGATGCAAACAATTTGTTTTGGTGAGACGAGCCGCAACAATGATACATCCCAGCAAGAACCACCTATACGCAACAACGATACATCGATACATCCCAGCAAGAACAACAATACACAAGAACACTGACAAGCAACAACAAYAGTACATYGATRCATTCCAGCAAGATCGGACGCAACACCAATACATTCCAGCAAGATCGGACGCAACACCGACAACGCAAGAACACCGACAACGCATATGACAAGAACAACAACGCATACAAACAACGATACAATTCCCATGGTCAACACCCAGCAACATACCATTTTAAACCAATATACTAGCAGCACACAACAAGCAATCAGGTGTAAACTAATTCATACAATGAGCAACTCATGGTGGAGGAGCAAAGAGCAAGAAAGCTACGCAATACACCGTGTTAAGTTGTATTTTGTACGGATTTTGTACACGGTACTACACGATATTTCGTGTTATTTGAAATTTCATGGTCCGTTGAAGCGTTGAATCACAAAGATTCCCTTATAAGCAGGCGGGAATAGAATCAATAAGAAATATACATTTTGAATATAATCAATAAAAGCAATGCATGTTGGATATCCCATAAGGAGGCRGGAATAGAATCAATAAGAAATATTCATGATCATATATAATCCAATTATTGCAAGATTTGGTGGGACATAAAAGCAATGCACGTTGGAGCGTTGAGTTGCACGTTGGAGCGTTGAGTTCTTTGGCGTCCGTTGACTTTGAAAATATACGGAAGACTGTGTAGAAACAGTACTGAACAACACGAGCTAACACGTAGGAGTTATTCTAATCCTCCACTAACGCTGCAAACACTTTGCTCCATAATGCAGCAGTCAGTATCAGTATGAACCAAATGGAAGATGTGAATTTAAGTAGTGATTAGTAAGATAAAGTTAATGTAGTTAAATGTAAACGCGACAATGGGAATGGACAATGGGAATCGACAATGGGAATCGACAATGGGAATTGACAATGGGATTGTTCGCTGGTGCTAATCGGAATCCGAATCCTCGGAATCCTCGGAGGAATCGTTGCTTCGACAACGCTTCCTGCCAGCTTTTGGACTGAAGTGCTGCATGGCAATGGAGACAAGGGATCCAAGAGCACTTCCAATTGCCTGGTAGGCCTCCTGC